CCCCGGCGCGGGCCCCTGCCTTGACCGGGGGCAGCCGCAGGCAGGCAGGGCTGCCTGGACATGCTGGCGGGTGTCTGGGGTGTCTTCGGGCAGACCCAAAGAGCCAAACACACGGTGCACCAACTGCCTGGGACCGGTTGTTTGCCACCAAGATTGTGGGGCGTGTTGGCTAAAGCAAAAATCGAGCAAAACGGATGTAAAGAGGTGCTTTGGGCCTGCGGGAAAGGCAGCAGAGACTGCACAGGGCCGAGGGAAGCTCTGCAGCTCTGTTTGTACAGCGCCTGGCATCAAGGGGATGTGGTGCGTAATTAGGGTTCTCTGGGACACGCTCAGGTCAAACACAGAGCAGAGGTCTGGGTCCCCCCCTTGCTGCTCCCCCAGCACAGGGACCTGCCTTGAACTGGGGCAGCCGCAGGCAGGCAGGGCTGCCTGGACATGCTGGCGGGTGTCTGGGGTGTCTTCGGGCAGACCCAAAGAGCCAAACACACGGTGCACCAACTGCCTGGGACCGGTTGTTTGCCACCAAGATTGTGGGGCGTGTTGGCTAAAGCAAAAATCGAGCAAAACGGATGTAAAGAGGTGCTTTGGGCCTGCGGGAAAGGCAGCAGAGACTGCACAGGGCCGAGGGAAGCTCTGCAGCTCCGTTTGTACAGCGCCTGGCATCAAGGGGCTGTGGTGCGTAATTAGGGTTCTCTGGGACACGCTCAGGTCAAACACAGAGCAGAAATGTTTGGTTTTTTTTTTTTGGGGGGGGGGTGGTTTTGGTTTTGGGTTTTTTTTTGTCTTGTGCAGTAGTCCCTTGAACCTTCCCACCATGGACTGCGCCGCTTGGTCAGCCTTTTGGAAGATATCCTTGGCAGGGGATTAATCATTGACTTGACAGCTGACAGAAGACCAGATTAAAAAAAATATTATGCATCGTGGCACCAGGAAAGGTAGAGCCACAGCGACTGTCTTCTGGAAGGCCTGTGGGCTCCATGTCTCTGGGTGGGCACAGCAGGACATGGCAGCTCACTGGCTGCGTTGGGTCCACAGTGCAGACCCCAACTTTTACATGAACTAAAAATGACTAATTTAGCCCATTGCGGAGCCACCAGCTCAAAATCTTTTTTAAATTGATCCTGATTTTGCCAGTTTGAAAGAACCAAAGTGTGGTTGCTCTGTAGCTGAAGAGGGATCCACATGGCCATGGCAAACTCCTGTGTGGGTTCTCCGGTGGCTTGTGAAGGTTGAGTTTGCCCTCACGTCTCCATCCGGAGTCATTGCCAAATTTGCTCTCCTCTTCCTGGCTGGTTGGGTTTGTGGGTTTTTTTTTTCATAACACTTGTAGGAACCTGGTATTTTGGGTATTCCCAGTCCTGGTATCTTGGACATTCCCAGTCCTGGCATCTTGGATATTCCAAATACTCTGGCAAACCTGACCATTTGGATAAAATTTAAGCACAAGGAGGAAGGTAGGAGAGCAGGCAGGAGATGAGGTGTAAACATAAATACATCATGACAGGCTCATCATTGTCTCTTACAAAACCAGGTTAAAATCTTGCCTCTTGAGATCATGTTTTTGGACTTGGGCTGAACAGAGTGTGCTGAGGGAGGGCTTTTGGATCTCTGTAACTGCGTGAAGAAAAACATAAGGCTAAACTATGATTAAAGATCATAGCAAGCACTGTAATTACTGAGCCATCTCAGGCCCTTGAATCAAGCCTGCTGGTAACAGGGGACTTACTTTGCCAATACCTGTTGCGTTTTGATCTGCTGCTGTGCATTGTACAGCTTCAGTCCTTATTTTCTGAACATTTCACCAGAGAATCTGAGCAAAAAGCAGAAGAGGCTGCAGGTGGCTGAATTCCCCTGCAAACCACAGTCCTAGCTCACTCCGGGTCCGGGGATTCCTGTAGCACAGGAGAGTCTTTGTCTTGCACTAACATTTTATTCTCATCTCACATTAGTGATTTTCTGTCTTTCTGTTGATGGTTTAATTCTGCTAGGTGGGCCTGGCACCATGTTCTTAAACCAGAGTGGCTCTGATGTAACTTCATCTCCTCTTCTTGCAACTTTTTCAAAGCCAAGCACTTCCTTACACGCCCAGTACTTAGGAGAAGGAGGAAAATTACACATCACTAAATTTTCTTACATCATCCATGGGGTTTCTGCAGGGCCTAATGCATTTGCCTTAGCTAGGAAGAGGTTTTTAATCAATAAAAGACAGGCTGCCTTCTCTTTTCATCTTTATTTAGGAAAATATCAATCAAAACCTTTAGATGCTTCAAAAAAATAGTGATATAAGGTCTCCTAAACTTAGTTGTGTCAAGGAAGAAAGTAAAGTGGTGGTTCTCAGGGCACTGCAAATATTTATTTTAGAGCTAAAGTCAATCCCCCCCCCTTGGACACCAGCTCCAGAAAACCTGAAGAGGCAGGTGCTACTGAAAATAGTGACGCTTTGTTCTTCTTGTTCCTTTGTTGGTCAGTCCAGATACGTGAGTGTTTTGCCAGGAACGCTCCTGCGTGGCAGCTGAGTCACGGTAACCAAACGCATGCACTCAGGGACCTGCAGCCACACAGAGCTAACGAACCTCGCGCTAATGTCCTTTACCTCCAATGTGCCAACAGCCCGGTAACCCGCTGCGCTTTGGCAGTGCGTGTGGGTGTGAGCGGTTTAACTCAAGATTCGGAGACTTCTTTTTCTGACATCTCCAAGCCTTGCATTACAAAAGGACCAGTATTAACTCAAGCGCTCCATTTCCTTAACCACCCTTTTAAACAAACCAACCTGCTTCCCAGAGCTGTTTTCAGTGATGACACCTGGCACGAACGGACAACCCACACTCACATACTGACACAGTCTTCAAGTGTTTCCCTGCTTAGTGATTTGACTTTGCTATTTGCCATGGCAAAAAGCATTATGCTGCAAACCCACCTTCTAAATTTACTTTTAACATATTTGTTGCAAATTGCAGTGCAAGGACCAGTGTATGGCTGGTCTGAGAGCTGCTGTCAGGACGTGCTGTCTCCCATCCGCTCCCGCCTCTCATTGAAGTATTTCCTCTGCTCCCGTATGGCTTGTTCCAGCAAGGGCACATTCATCCCTTCCACGCAGGTCAAGATCCGCGCCTTTACCACGGGACCCTCACCTGGGAATATAAACAGGAAGTTTCTGTAGAAAGAAAAACAGACGGAGCAGTGCGGAGGCAAACAGAGAGGTTCCCTCGGGCAGCATATGGCTCCACCTGGCCAAATAACCATAGCCTGAGAACCTGCAGGAGACCGGACCGGCCATGTGCCTCCACCGACACGAGCAGCACGCCTGGGAGCAGGTTAATTCAGTGATAGGCTTTCCCTCTGCCCTGTTGGCTACAAAATGCTGGTGACTGACACTGCACTCTCCTTGCACTGGGGAACGCTGAGCCCAGGCCATGTCGGTGCCAGTGCCTGCCACGCAGCATCTGTCTACTTCGTGGCTGAAGTTTGGTTTTCCCTGTCTAAAGAGCATCAGGGATGGGTCTAAGCTCATTTCTGAGTGCCTCTGTGCAGACAAGAAGAGGACAGAACAGAGCTGGGCTTAGAAGAGGCTCAATGCTGACTATAACCAACAGTTCATCAGTGGCATTCAAATGGTAACACAGAGCTGTACAAAAGGGGCCAAACCTTGGTGACGCAGCCACCATCTCAGCCTGCTCCCCTTCCACCCCTGCAAAATGGGGCCAACTCACTCCTAAGCTGTGATGACCAAAATAACATGTCTTTCTAAAGGAATTTTGCAGCAGTGGCTTAGCAGGTGACTCACTAGATGCCACGTGCAGTGTGGCTTTCCACATGCCACCGAGGATTTCAATGGCACGAATGCGAATGCTTGTTACCAGGTGTGGCCAAGACAACACTTGGGATTTGCTTCACAACCCTGCGGCCCAGCCCAGATCAACTCCCCACGCAAAGCGCCGTGCAGCTGGAGTAATGCTCAGGGCACCCCAGGAAAGGACAACAGGGTGCCCTGCGTGACAGAGCCTGCCTGCATTCCTCACGCCCCATGTCTGAGGGCAGGGGTATAATTAGAGCCTTTCAAGGATGGCAAAGACCCAACCCAGCCAGCTCGCAATGAGGTACTGCTGCAATCAGCCACGTTTGGAGTGAAGACAATGTGGTGGCTGGCAATGATGCCAGAAGGCTTTAGCACAGGTTTCACAAGCTCAGCGATGCGGCTGAGGCACTTCTTGTTTCTAAGGAAATCTGTGCCAGAGCACCAGATTTTCACCAAGATAAGGGTGGCTCTTCTCATGGTCAACAGGGAGAGACAGGCTGCTCCTGCCCTGAATCACGCGCTCATGTGACTGGAGGCAGCCGCATGAGATGAGCCTGCCTTGGCCAACGCCAACCTCCATGACAGTGTGTCTCACCGTGCACCCAGGGAGCCACGAAGGAGCTGATGAACCATCAACAGCAGCAAAGGGCACTGGTTCCTGGAGCATTTACCTTCCCTGTGTTCAGCCTCTCCCAGGACCACGTAGCGAGACCCCAGCTGGGCTTGGAAAGGCTCCACAAACTTGGTGTCGACACAGACCCGGTACTGAGCTGAGCTGTGCTGAGCGGTGAGAACGGCTTTGGACCGGGCCAGGTCATAGAAGCATAACCTGGGAACAATCGATTTGGGAAGCTCAGCGGTGCAGAGATACAACAATTACAAACAAAGAGAGGGGGGTCAGCCAGTGACGGAAAGGCCTGGCCTGCAAGGAGACCGGGGCATCCATCTCACCTGCCAAACGTCCTCAGCGCCTCCCCCTCTGGGACTGAGCTGTTGATCTCCCATGGGAAGTAATAGACACCAGCACTTGGCAGCATGTCACGCAACCGCCGCTGGGCCTGCAGTAAAGCAAAAGCTCTGAGTTCATGCCACCCCAGTACCTGATCCAGATACTAGGTGACACTGCCCCAAAACTCCTTCCTTGCCCAGGGCCCCCCATCCAGGGGGCCGCAGGAACTTCATAGCTTCCCTGCTGAGTCCTGTTTGCAGCCCAGTGCACGTGCCAAGCCCCAGGTATCCTGGCATAAAGAGGAGCTACCTTCCCCCACCGCAATCCAGCGTGAACAGCACCAGGCAGCCCACCAGATCCTCCAGGTCTCCCCCAGGCTATGGATGGGTTGAGAAAGGTTAAGGAAGTGGGAAAAGTGGTGACTGAGAAGTTCAGAGAGTGTGAGGGACTGAGACGCAGGAATAGACGCTGGGGTGATGGGGTACCATGCAGCAAGACTTAAAGTATGATCCCGAGTCTGTTCTCATGCTGCAGGATAAGAAATTCTGGCAGTGTCTGATCCTGCAGCTGGTGAACAATTACTTGGATACAAGCCAGCCTGGTTTCATCAGTGGTCTAGTCGGGTTTAGAAGACAGTGATGAATGAGAATGATTCACCCCAAGACAAGGCTCAGGTGGGACCTTCTGGGAGCTCCAGCGGTGGAGCAGGGCTGGC